CTCGAGGAACTCTACGGGCTGGCGCTGCGCTTTTTCAAAGGTGAGGCGGCTGCGCGGCCTGGGGGAGGAGGGAAATGAGGAAAAACGAGGGGGGAAGGAGGAAAAACGGGGCGCGGGGCGCTGCAGGCCGTGCTCACGAGGAGCCTGGCCCTTGTGGGAGCGCTGAGAAGGCTCCCGGTGCCTCGGGAAGCGCCTTCCCACAGCGCTGCTGGGCTCGGTATCGCTACGGCCTCTTCCTGTGCCAGGTGCAGCTGCCCCCGCCTGTCATTCTGGGGAGCGATGGGGCTTGTCTTGCTGTCGCTGTTCTGGAAAACGAGCCCGAAGCCTCCCTGTCCGCGGGGGTCTCAGTGGGGCTTCCCAGGTTGCAGTCTGAAACCACCCGGTGCCTCTGCAAGAGGAAATCCTGTGTGTCTTTCTGACTTGGGTGTAAGTTACTACAGAAAGAGGTGTTACCAGTGCTCCACATTCCTCTCCGTTTGGACGATGGCAAATCAGTGAAGCTGTTACTTGTCCCTAGGCTCCTAGTTTATGTTTGTATTGCCTTAGCTATCTCAGTAGTCTTCCTTCCAATTTCAAGGTGTTTCACTTTACTGCTGTTCCCTTGAGTCATCAGCAGTTTCTTTTAATTCATGGTTTCTCGTAATAGTATTTTCTGCTTTGTACCATATCAGGCTTTCCAAGTGCAGCAAATGGTTCCTCCAGGCCCATGGCTAGATGCAGTAAAAATCTCATGGAATTGTTGATTTTTCACTCGCAGTTTTTATCAAGTGCGATATAACAAGCAGGTTTTTATTTATAGACATGATGCTGAGTTACTGCAGACTCCAGGTTCTGTGAGCTTGTTCTATATCTGGGGGGCTCTGAAAGAGCAAGTCTTGTTTCCAAATGGTTTTAATACATTTGCTGTCAAAAGCGGGAGCAGGCATGCTTGTTGTGCAGTCTTGTAGATGCTGAGGAATAAACACGAATCCCTCTTTTACCTCAGGAAGCAATACTTCAGGGATCTGAAGGTTGAGGCATGTTAGTAGGTAAATGCTGAAACAAATGCCTGATTTTGATCACTTTTCCAAAATCTATATTAATTTGTAAGTGAGGAAATCTTCGAAAAACTTTTATCAAGTAGTTGTAAGAAATAGAAAGTGCTTTAAGACCCATGTGCCTAGCATGAAACACGAGATTGAGGGCAGCGCTCGTTTAGGGGAATGATGGTATCTGGATTAGCTGTGGTTGTGGGTATGGAAAGAGTTTGAAGTGTGATACTAAAGACCTCAAAGGAGGAGCAGTGATAACTAGTGAAGCAGCTTCCTTTAGGCCGCTGTGGGTAGAGAGAGTTACCTAGATGTGGCTCCTCATGTACCTCCTTCCAGGGAAAGCTTAATTCTATCAAAATGCTATCGCAGTGACTGCAATATGCCCTGTGGTGGTGTATTGCGTGCACCAGCACAGGTACATAAACACAGCAGTGGGACCGGAGCGGGGTTAAAGGGGCTCAAAAGCTGCGTGATTCTGTCTGCAGTGAAGGTTTGACTCGGGGTCATTTCAACCACCAGACCTCAGGCCATGCAGAAAGCATGCTGGAGTTTCCAGTGTCTGCAATGATTTGGGGAGAAGGCTTTTCAGAACAGCAGAGGCATAGAAATGAGAGATCATTAATAATGTCCCAGTGCACTTCTGCCTAGTTCAAAATGAGTAGCCTTCTGGCTTCCATTTAAAAAACAAAACCCTCTTCCATTGTATTAGTCAGGCCTGCAGGAGGAAAGCCCTGCTAATACAGGGATGCTGCTGAAGTAGGGAGGTTTCTGTGTCCAGGGTCTTCTGACTGCTTGTGCCCTGGGGCTGCTGCCTGGCGGAAGTGCCTTGGCTGCAGCTCCTGTGCTTGCTGAACTGGCGTGAGCTGCTTCAGTGAAGGGAATGCACTGAGGTTTAAGCTGTGCCCTGCAGTAGAAGGGGTGGCCAGTGTAGTGATCCAGCAAATCTCTGCAAGAATCAGCTCTGTCTTACAATTTGCTTGGAATCTATTTTATACTCCGTCTTTCATAGTCAGCACTTGAATTCAGGGACTGTTGTATAAAGTGATTTGCAGCGCAGCATGTCTGGACAGGCATATCATAACCATATCATTTTACTGTCTGAAAGCTCACCTAGTATCCCTCCCCCAAAACTCTGATTTTGTTCGACTGCTCCAAGTTATTTTCTATTAAGCCAGCAAGAAGGTCTCATGAACCTTAGCAACACATCATTCCAAATTTGTTTATCTTCGTCTCTTCTATAGTGTGCTAATTTGATAGCATGGTTGTAATTAGTTAAGTAGAATTCTGTTTTCAAGGATCTGTAAGGGGATGTCTAGTGGGAACTGCAGGCAGTGATTCAGTTCTCACATTTCTCGGTTTTGAGCTCGCTCATTAAAACCTTGCAAGTGAATAGCGTTAACGTGTGTGACTTTGGCGTTTAATAGCAATGAGTGGCAAGTAATGCTGCAAACTGGTTTCCGTTTCTCTCTGGACAACTTGGACTGGCTGCAGTCCCCAGGGACCTGGCTGTTTGGAGTGGGTGTGGCAGGTGAAGTTGGAGTGGATGTTGCTACATATTGTGCTATGGATCTTACAGAGGTAAAAATCCTGAAGTTACAGAGAGGTACTGATACCTCGTGTGGCACACTTTTCCTCAGCTTGTTGTTAAACTCCTTTGAGTCTGGACTCCTGGATTTATGCCACATGCTGGAGAGTTACCTCGCTGCCTGCTTTCTAACACTAGGTTATTGGAGCAGCCTCATCTCAACTGTATCTGTATGCAGTGGCAAGAGTGAGCCTCAAGCCTGCTATTAACTACCCGTACTGCAAGTAAGGCTGATTGTGGTTTGTGTTGATTCCGTTAAATACTTGAGAGAAACATTCTCAGCAGATCTCCTGTTAGCATCTAAGTGACAGCTGCCAAGGAGGGCTGTGCTTCAAATGGGTAAAATTGATTGTGCAGGGACTCTCATTTGAGCTGTGACCGTGCAAGGGCTTTCATAGCACGTGGCAAAGCTCTGAGCACGCAGCGAGTGGGAAGCAGCCTGTTTCCCTGCACCTTGGTAACCTGCTCGTGTCATCAGTGAGGTACGTGTGTACGGACAGTTGTAGTAAACTGCCTAAAGCAGCAGAGCCTGCCTCCCTGCAGCCTTAATCACTACCTGAGCTTGCCTGCTCTGTTCTGCTCTGGCTGCTGTGTAAAGGGTAGCGCTTGCGATTTGAGAAACTGCCATCTCCAGTGAGGGGTGCTTTGAAGGCGTGTCCAGAGGAAATATCCCAAGGGTTTGCAAGAAAACCAAGCCGCTCCCCAGAGGGACGCCTGCTCGCTTGGGAGTACTGTGGAGTTGCTGGACCATTACTTTGTGCATCCTCTAGATTACCCTAATTTGTTCCTTAAAGCTGTTTCACGTTCTTCAGCTTCCTGTCAGCTGTGCTTTAAAATCAAATAAGCTATCCAGGTTAGTAGGTGCTTGAAAGATGCATTCATGGATACCTCATAAATTCAGCACTTCTGCTTGCCTAGGCTCACTAATGTTTGATCTGGGCATAGTTAACTCTGCAGATGGCTTCAGCTGCCCTAGTTCAGTTTAATGGCAGCATTCCCACATCTGAGGTAATTGCACAGCACAGTTCATCCTGAAGAATTCGACTGAAAATAGCTAGTATACAACTTCTCCCTTGACTGCCTTTAAATACTTTGCTGAGAGCTTCCTTCTAATCTGCATTATGCACAAGTCACTGGATGTCTGCCTGCCTCTTATCTGTTTTCTTCCTGTTCTGCTCTTTCTTTCCTCTGGTTTGGTTTTAAGGAAATGCAGACCTACTGCTTTTAGCTGCTGAGGGAGACTTTTTTTTTTCCCCTTAAGCTCTTTTCCAAAATGGGTCCAAACCCTTAGTTGTTAGCTGTTTGCTGCACTACACCAGCTGAGTTTGACAAACAGCTGTAGCATTGCAGGTTGCACAAGGTAAACTATGCCATAGTGACCATCTTGAGAAGGGTACTTCACTACATAGCAAAATATTGGTGTAGCACAAGGGTTGGTCGAGTTGTTCTCGAGCACTGCAGTCCAGAATGCTAAGTGCATTGTTAAAGCACGTGTGCTGTTCGCTGGGTACCAGGCACTCCTGTTAGCCCCAATAAGCAAGTCCTGGGTTAAATGTGAGTGTGAAGAAACGGGAAAAGCCAGAGAAGTATTAGGGGGGCTGGAAGCAGGAGCCCTGGGGCATGGGCACAGAGCTTCTCAAGTTGCTGTGATTGCAGCAAGTGCTGTATCCTCAAGGATGGGCCTGCAGTGCCTGAGATTGACGTTGTCTCAGGGCTCATGGATGGTTGAGGGTGGAGAAAATGTCTGGAGATCCCCTAGTCCAACCCCCTGCCCAAAGCAGGCTCAGTGGAAGCAGGTTGCTCAAGTGGGTTTGATTTCAAATCCCTCCAAGGATGGAGATTCCACAGTCTGTACAACTTCTTTTCCAGTGTTTGACCACTCTCACAAAAAAAAAGGAGGGGAAGAAAGAAAAAAAAAAAAAAAAAAAAAGCCCTTTTGTAAGTAACTTGAATTTCCTGTGTTTCAACTCATACCCAGTGCGTCTCATTCTTGCCCTAGATACAGACTCTTCTTGATAGTATCTGTCCTTACATTCCCCTTCTTTCCCCATCAGGGATATTTAGAAAATGAAGTTATTGGGGACGAAAGGCTCTTGCAGCAGGAGTAGATGTTGGTTCTGTGCTCCTGTGATGCTGGGAAAAGAGCAAATACCTGGGATTCTGAAGAATTCTGAAGTAGCTAATAGATAAGTAAGTGTTTACCTGCCAAATTCTCTGATTCTGGCTTCACAACTCCTGGCATGTGTGTAGTGAGTGACTCCTTGTGAGGATTTAACTGATTAAGTCCGGTAATGCCCTCAGTTTATTCTGTCAGAAATCAGCTCCTTGCTGTGACCTGCAGGCACTTTTCCCTGTGGGCCCCTGTCTGATTCTCAATTTCAGAAGTATCTGGTCTGCATTTCTCAATAAGTCACAATAAATGTTTTATTTCTTTTCCCCATTAATAATTCTGGCACCCTTCAGCTGAAAAAAAACATAAGCTGCTAAGTGTCCACCCTGAAGTTCGAGTATGAATTGGACCACTTGGTTTGGGTCTCAAAACTACTTACTCTGAAGTGACCTTAGCTGCAGACTCACACAGCCCTGCTGTGATTCATGGCTGTGTGCAGGGTACTGCGAAGCGCAGTCCAATGAACACAGGTTGTTTGCCTCCAGTAAGAGCTTCCTCATTTCCATCCTTCCAAAAAGCGAGGTTGCTTATTCGGTTTCTTCTTCAAGAAGAAGGTGGCTTTGTTTTTTAAATAAACACTGTAATTATTGACACATTTCTTTGGTTTGTTTTAATGGTTTGGTAAGTGTGTTGAGGTAAGTCCTAGTTGACTAATGTGTTAACTAATGCATTTAAAATGATGCATTTCCTTGCCAGTAAATCCACTGATGTGACCTAACTAGGACTGCTTTAGGAGGCTGTGGTGTGGAGCTGCTGGAACTTGGGTATGCCTTTGCTTTTTATTCTGCCTGTCTCTTAGGGCCAAAGCTCTCTTTGCAGAGGAGCATTGGTACAGATTGAGTCACCTCATGAGGGATTATTCCAGCTGCCTTGGCAAAATGCAGTAATCAAATCCCTGCAAGTAGAATTTCACTTTGATTCTAACTATGCTCTTTCTTGCCATTAACTTCATATTTACGCAGTTGCCTGATGTGAAGAGCATCATGCAACATGAGGAAAGCAATCTGAATGTTACCATATCTGTCTTCATGGGAAATCCTTCCGGCTTATCTTACAGTAGACTTGCCAGACACATTTGAGTTCGAGTTCAGAAGCTTTTTAAATATTTCAGAGGTATAGATTTGCATGGTATGACATTCATCTAATTATCATAAATATTTATGCCATATCCTGCTATCTGTTGGTTCTAGGTGGTATGAACGAGCTGCCAAAGCTTGAAGCGTTTTAAGTTAGCTGTGTTTCTTCTGGACAAATCTGTATTTGAATAAAACTGAAATTGTCTAACCTTTTATGACTTGTGTCTCTTGATTATGTTTTTACAGAGAGGATCATAGCAGCAGTTATACAGAGCACTTGCTGTGCCCTTAATTCCTTAATCATAAGAATGAAATTTTCTTTTTTTCCCCCTCTCTATAGAAAAAGATGGCAAAGCCTTTCATCCAACATATGAAGAAAAACTCAAACTTGTGGCGCTGCACAAGCAGGTTCTGCTAGGACCTTACAATCCTGACACTTGCCCTGAAGTTGGATTCTTTGATGTGCTGGGCAATGATAGAAGGTAAAATACAAGGATGTTGCACTCATTGATCTTAACTCTGCTTGTTGTCTTAGGCCAATGTCCTTTGGACATTGAGCAGTAGTAACACAGGTGGGTGGGCTGCCTCAGTAGGTGTATGGTAGTGGGAAGTGAGGGGGGGCCTCTTCCAGTGTGTCTTAATCTTGAGCTGCAGTACAGTAACGGAACTAGCAGAAGAACATTTGGGTTGTAACTTAGCTGAAGCACGTTAGGAAAAGTGCCTGTGCTGACTCTCTGGTCTCTCATGGCAGCTGAAGACTTAATTAGGTTGCGTTAAAGTGCAAGCCCATGTTTCCTGCTTTTAACTCTGCTTTGCATTGGAGTTACTGTTGGTAAAAGCCTTGGCCTGTTGTAGAAGTGTTTGCCACAGCCTCTCTGTAAGTACCAAGGGTGGCTTCTGAAATCAATTTCCCACTGGAATCAGACCCTGAGTAAATTCTTGCAAAACGAGGGCAGCCTCAGGCATGTCTTCTGTATTCCATTCAGTTCAAGCTAGATTTTTTTTTCTCATGTTTCTTGATGCTTTTTCTGTTGGGAAAAACAATGTGCAGCACAGCATAAGCATCTTGAAGCTGGTCTCTATTTTATTTTTTTCCAAAGTGGATTTAGCTAGTGGCCTGAAGTCCAGTTTCTAAAGTGCTCTTCAGAAGACCAACTGGTTGCATTTGGCTAACTCGAGCCCTGTAATTGATGAACAAACCTGGAACAACCATCAGGGAAATGTTATACATTTTCGTCTATAGACTAGGGTGAAAGAGGACCCAAGAATATTTTGGATTCATTTGCCAGTTCATTTATATTTTGGAAGCTGTAGAAAGCAGTGTAGAAATCTGAGTAAGCCTGATGATGGCTTGTATTAGATGTTCTATAAGCATTCTGAAATGTCTGTCTGAAATTCCTTCTGGTGCAGGCAGGAGAGAGCAACAAGATCTACAAGTTTAAGGTCTCACATCAAATGGGTAAAAGTTACTGGTTCTCTGATGCAGCATATGATGTAGTTGGGTCTCTGGTCCCGGCTTTGTCCCTCCCCATCCCCTTGTGCTGGAATGGGAGTTTGCTACTGGCTTGAAGAGAATGGAGTCCTCTTTCTCAGCTGATGAAGTCCATGATTTCTTTCTCCTTCTCTCAGGAAGGAATGGGCTGCCCTTGGAAACATGTCAAAGCAAGAAGCTATGACAGAATTTGTTAAGCTCCTAAATAGGTGCTGCCACTTGTTCTCTACGTATGTCACTTCACATAAGATAGAGAAAGAAGAACAAGAAAAGAAAAGGTAATCTTTGAATTTCTTGGTGTAGGGGAGTGAAGAATTATACTGAGTGTATAATTCTTGACCTGCAGGCAGTGCCATGGCCAACTTGAGTTGAAGCCTAAGAGAAGAGAGATGCTTTGAGTTCAGATGGCTGTGGTTCCATTTGCACTGCTTAGGCCTTCTTGTCTGTAATGAATGCTTCTGAAGTGAAGACTTACCTGGAATACCTCAAGGGAACTTTATTTTAATAGTACAGTAGTTTGTTCTCGAACATACACTTCACACAATTCTCCATGTTATATGAATTGACTAAATAGCCACGTGAAATCACCGGGTTTTAAAAACTTATTTTTGGAGTTAGCCATTTAAAAAAGGCTATCTTGTACCATCTTTTACACATTATTAAATAACACTTGGAATCAATGTCTGCGTTTTGAAACCTGACAAGAGCTTAAGATTTCAAGACTCCTTATTTTCCTGTGTTGTCTGCTACTGGTAATATAGTAATAAGTTAGAATGAACATTAAATTATAATACGCAATTTATGCTTGCTATTGCTCAGTGCAGTAAAACCAAGCAGTGATGGATTTACTTGTGTGCAGAGTTGAAGTGGAAGATGATATGAAACAGAGCCTTACTGGGTGGATGAAAGGCAGGTTACAGCCTGTTGAAAAGAACTGATGAACTGATCCTAGGCTCATAGGAATGCTGAGGTAGCTCATTGGGTGCATTTTGCAGAAGAGAAGAGGAAGAACGAAGGCGGCGCGAAGAGGAGGAGCGGGAGCGTTTACAAAAAGAAGAGGAAAAACGCAGACGGGAGGAAGAGGAGAGGCTGAGAAGAGAAGAAGAAGAGAGGAGGAGAATAGAGGAGGAGCGGCTTCGGATGGAACAACAGAAGTGAGTAGCTCAAACGAGACATCAAAGAAAACTGTCTTGCGTATGAGACAGTTGTCTCCAATCCTGTTTTTTGAATGCAAAACCTCATATAGCTGTAGTTCCTTTTTTCCATGCAAGGGCTGTTTTTGCTAACTCAAGAGCCTTAACACTGTCTCCTTCAAGGTGATCCCTTCTTAGAAAATGTAAAGTGTCTACAGATCTCATTTGAGATGGTTTTGACCCTTGAGTGGTTACTGGCTCTTAGCATTTTTTTCTAAAAGGAGTTCAGAATTTACTTTCAGTTTCTAGCCTCTGTCAATCTAGTTAGTTAGAATGGATAGCTCTGGTTCTGTTTTGTTGTCCTCATACATATCCACATGCTCAAAGCATGGATCTGGAATTAGCACTTAGCACCTATTGCCTTCTTAAACCTCCTGACCTGTAGGTAACACCATAGTAAAAATAACCTTGCGGGAAAGATCCTGTGTTTGCTATGTAGTGATTTTGGAGAGGGAGCAAGTAACTAATCTGCAAGCCTTGCTGCTTTGTTTATTTAACATGGTGAAGGCCAGAGAAGTGTGAAATAGCAACATAAATGAATAGGCAACATGATCAAAGTTGTGCAGTCCTAAACAATAGGAAATGGGGTATGCCTTGAAATGCAGATTTTTGTAATGTGATAAGCAGTCATATAATTGGCTGTGGGAGGTTACAGAGGTCAAGAATTTAGGCAGAAAAGGGACTGGGGTGTGCATGTAAAGCCATGTGTCGGTCTTCAGAATGGTTACAGTTGGAGAGGTAAACATTTAGCTAAAAATGTTGCTTGGTAGAGGGTGAGTTTTGGGGCAGGGAGAAATTTACCTGCTTTGTACAAGAATGGAATTAGGAGTCTTTGAGGTAGAGGGATTCCCCTGCAGCCTGGGCTGCCTGTGACCGCCTCCTGCTGTGCCGCCTGCACAGGCAGCAGATCATGGCAGCGCTCAACTCGCAGACGGCTGTCCAGTTCCAGCAGTACGCGGCCCAGCAGTACCCGGGCAACTACGAGCAGCAGCAGATCCTCATCCGGCAGCTCCAGGAGCAGCACTACCAGCAGTACATGCAGCAGTTGTATCAAGTCCAGCTTGCACAGCAGCAGGTAGGACTGACACCTGAGGAACTTCAGCTGTGTTCAGCACCCCCAGGCTGACTTTGGGAGGTGTTAACTTGTCTATTCCCATCCACCTTGAAAAGAGAATTGGTGCAAGGAGAGGCAGAAAGTATGACTAATGACTGAATACTCAAATCCCTTTATTAATCTCTTCCAGTAGATTTCTGAAGCATATGTTAATCCAGAGTACTAATCACTCCATTTGTTAAAATTCTTGGAAGCCAAATACCAGGCTCTCTGCTGTGGTATCTGTGTGCACCTAATTGAATGGATGCAGGTACCAGTGCACTGAGCACAGACATAAACCAACCGCTTCAAGTGACTCTCCATACATATATCCCATCTTTGTATCCCATTCAAAAGGTGTCGGCAGCAGTGTGTGCCTTGGCTGGGAGGGTAAGTGTTTGTATCACCAGCAGCAACAGGTGGCAGTACTTTTGAGCAACGATTCTGTGTCTGAGCTTGACCATTTATGGCCACTTTGTTCAGGGGGATCTTGCATCTCTGGTGGATGTGCTTCATTCAGATCTCCAACTACTTTAAAGTTCAAAGATACCCCCATAAGTGTCTCAACAGATGGCAAAACAAACTTGATGTCTAGCATCTGACTTGTGTGGAGGACCTGATTCTGAGATGGCCTCTGTCTGCCCATCTGAGATCTACTATTCTTCACTAAAGGCTTAAAATTCAGTAACTCGGGCACTTGCAGTATATGTTAGTGCTGTTCTGTCCTAGTTGCTTCTGGATCAAATTTTGATACAATTTTACAAAGTTGGTCAGGTTTGAAATAGCACTAACTATATTGTTCTTTTACTCTCTTAGAATATCTACATTGCATTCATTCATCAAAACAGTGTGCTTATTAGCTTGTTCTTTAAAGAACAATATTATCAATTACACCTGCCCTATCCCAGCAAAAACCGCATCTGTAATCTCCTCTTACTGATACATGAAGGAAAAATAAGCCTTGAAGCTAAAGGGATCAGGCCTCCTGCCTAAATCCAAAGGAATGGATGTTACCTGGTTTAATCTTATCTTGGGTATGTCTAATCCTTTGCAGAGGGGCAGCATAATGAGTGCTGTCTAAAGAGTTTCCATGTGCGTAAGTCATCTTCTCATGGAACACCTTTGTGCTTTAATGCTTTCCCCAGCTTCCTTGCAGTCCTTCTGGTTCTTATGTTGCCTGCATTCAAATTAACTGCCCTGCTGGGGCTCTGTGGATTTGAGAGCCCTTTTGAGTAAGTTAACCCACCAATTGGCAAAATACTTAAGACTTTATTTTTTTAAGCTGGATGATCCCAGACCAGAACACTTTCAACCCTCAAGTAAAAAACAACCAAGAAATCACTGCTCTTGTTCTTAAAATAAGTGCTATAGGACATGCTGGAATGGCCAGCGCTCATAATGAAGTGTAACAGCTTGCTGTGCATGCTCTAGTTAACTTTGAAGTTGAGTCTTCCAGTTCAGGTTGCATCCAGCAGGCTGGAACAGACTGGTTAGACTCCTGTAGTACTGAGCACATGTAATTCTACATAGTAACTGATAGAGTGGAGGGGAGATTTTTTTTTCTTTAATTGCCGTTATGCCCTTTGATAGATAGATGTCTCAGGACTGCTGTGTTTACCTGATTTGATTTCTCTCCTTTTAGGCAGCCTTACAGAAGCAGCAGGAGGCAGTAGTGGCAGCAACAGGGACACCTCCGACTACTGCGATGATGGTGAATGCACCTGCCCCAGGGGACATCCCATCCATTAACGGGCAGGCCAGTGCCCATACAGACAGCTCTGAAAAAGAGCTGGATCCAGAGGCTTTGGAAGAAGCATTGGAGAATGGACCAAAAGGTAAGATGAGCTAGATTCCTTAGTAAATAACCTCAATGACACTTTGTTTGTTTGTTTTTTAAGGACATAGATGATATATCTGTGATCACTGTGGCTCTTCACTTAGCTTTGGTGGGCTGTACCTAAGCTTGGTTCCTGGGTCTGGTTTCTCTGGAGGCAAAATATATTGCACAGAAAATCCAGCTTTTGTGGAGAAGAAAGATGAGGCAGTGAAAGCATTTTGCCCATACAGTGGGATGGGATAGGGAATCCCATAGATAAGGATGAGATCTCAAACTTCCTCTAGCTCTTAGTTGAGCTGTGAAAGTGGTAACAGGAAAAGCAGCCTCACAGCAGCTTTCTCATCACTGTTATCTGTGGATGCCTCTCCTTACTTTGATCCAGAATAGTTAGCCCTCTAAAGACCTGCTTAGATCCGAGTAAGGAACCAATGCTAGTGTGGTCCCTAGGTCTAACTAGTTGACTGGTACTTGGCAATTTCTAACAAGTTCTTACCTTCTGGTTCTATTGCATTTATACATCCTTTTGCAGAGAGGCTTTGTGTAATGTGGCCCCAGTGCCACTAGCAGTACCTCTGTCTTAAGTCCTTTTTGCATGAGCACTGGTAGTGTAAATGTGGTGACTGGGTGAACTGGTGGGGTTTCAGTGGGCACTGGTATATCCAATCTTGCACTGCATTTCAGACAAGTTTGAGCCCTGTCAAAGATGCTTTTTGTCAGTAGGAAAAGATAACAGCCTAAAGTGAGCTAAAAGCACAAATGAGCTTATGGATCAATAACTGAGGCAAACTCTTAACTGGAATGTTTTCCCTCTCCTCTAGATTCAGTTCCAGTGATAGCTGCTCCATCGATGTGGACCCGACCCCAGATAAAAGACTTCAAGGAAAAAATCCGACAGGATGCAGACTCTGTGATCACCGTGGGCCGAGGAGAAGTGGTTACAGTCAGAGTACCCACCCACGAAGAGGGGTCGTACCTCTTTTGGGAGTTTGCTACAGACAATTATGACATTGGTTTTGGGGTGTATTTTGAATGGACAGACTCGCCTAACACTGCGGTCAGTGTGCATGTCAGTGAATCCAGTGATGATGAGGATGAAGAAGAAGGTAAAGATGCTTGTTTTTATGAATTTTCAGTCAAGCTGTGGAGTGGATTAATTAAAACTGGGTTCCTGGCATCTCTGAAAAATGGCTCAGATATAGTGGGGAGAGAAGGAGGGCTGTTTTAATATTAAGTGGTAAAATTCATCATAAAGCAGTGTACGGAGTGAGCCAGAGTGCAGTTTTACAAGGGCAAAGGGATAGAGTGCTACCTTGGAAGGGTAGGAGTGCGCTTCCTTTGTACAGCAGTGCAGTAAAATGCAGGAGCCTGTGCTTGTTGCTGCTCCTGGCTTTTGAATTCTTTGCCTTGTGCCTCTGAGATCATCTTTCCTACTCCCCCCCAAGTCTCACTTCTAAACTAACAAAGTTGACTACAGGTCAGGACTCAATTTTAACATCTGACTTTCACGTGTAATATATGTACCTCTGTTTAACTCTCTATTTTTTTTTTCCCTTGCAGAAAATACCAGCAGTGAAGAAAAAGCCAAAAAGAGCGCCAACAAGCCTCAGCTAGATGAAATTGTGCCTGTGTACAGACGAGACTGTCACGAAGAAGTGTATGCTGGCAGCCACCAGTACCCAGGGAGAGGAGTTTATCTCTTGAAATTTGACAACTCCTACTCTCTATGGAGGTCAAAAACAGTTTACTACAGAGTTTATTACACTAGATAAAGGTGTGGCTGTGCCTGATGCTGGGCTCTGCAGAAGATGTCATTTTATTTGGGATTTTCTTCAAGCATAACGGATCCTCTTGAGTCTGTGTTTTATCCTGTCTGTATCTGTACGGTTTGTGTGAACTTTTAACAAGTAGACACTGGGATCTTCCTGCTCCATGACACTGATGCATATTGCATTGGGCTTAACACAGGATCTCCCTAGGCTGTTTGCGTGCTGCATTAACCGGTGGCAGTCACTGACTCCGGTGCTAAAGTCACACTAGTTGCATCTGTAAAGCCTCGTGTACACGGGGGAGGGAATTGCTGGTTCACTGGCTGGGTGGCCTGATGTTTCCACACCTGGATGCTTTGAATAACTTGTTTACAGTTAATTTAAAGGTCCCATCAATAACTGGTAGATTTGGATGCAGTTTGCTGTGTAGCAAGTTTCTCTTAACTGTAATTGAATGTCAGATTTTTACACCATTAAAACTTGAAACTTTAAGTTGATGCGGTTTAGAAACAAGTTGTCTCACTTCTGTCCTCCATGAAGAAAAACCTTCAGTTCCTTGAACTAGTGCAGTGACTGAGATGAACAGAGCACCAAAAGTATGGTGAATAACCTTACTTCTGAAGATGTAAACTGAACAATTAAAAGTGTATGTAACAAGTAGAACCTTAATCACTCTGCCCTGCTGCTAACCATAGCATTAAAATATATATATATCTTTTTTGGAAGGAATTGAATTTGAACCAGGGCGCTTCATTCCTTTTTTCCTTTTTTTTTTTTTTTTTAAATGACTTTGATGTTAAAACTGAAATGGGTTTTCTGCACAGCTTCCCTGTGTGTCTGTTTTTGTAAGCCTGAGTGGACACAGTGTGCACCTGAAGACTAGTAAGTCACTTTGGTAAAGTGTAGGAATTAATGCTGCACTAATTATGGAAATCGCTGCCAGTGTGTTTTAGGCTGCAGTGGTAGTTCTGCAGTGCAGACTCTCTGCCTCAATTTTCTACTTTTGGCAGAAATACATCTAATAATGCAGCCCTAACTCACAGTTTCATAGGGATGGGTGGGGCATCTTCGTGTGTTTTGTGCAGGGGCAAAATGCAGGTGGTTGCCTGGCTCGGAGGCGCAGGAGCAAGCACCCTGCGCCTGAGGGGTGCCCATTGCAGGAATGAGTTGTGCAGGTGCTCTGTGTGGGAGAGGGAATGGCAGTCACTTGGGATGTGCGTGGGGGCTCTGGCAGTGGGATTTCTATTGATCTGCTGCAGTATGGGCAGGTCCCCAGCACTGGGGCACCTGTGGGAGTGCTGGGTTTGTACATACAGGATACTTCAGGGTCCTTATCCTCATCCCAGCTGTGGGGATGCTTCTCCTGGAGCACTTAACCTGTTGTCTTGCGTTGGGTTCAGCACCACCCTGCCAGCCTAGAGCTACGTAGTGCTGCTTTGTCCAGAAAACACTGTACAATGTTCTGCTCTTGTGTACATACGGTATATAAACCATGAATTTAGGAAGTACCTTGCTTTTAAAGAAAACTGTGTTTAATGTATAAAAAAAAAAAAAACTTTTAAGAAGGCAGGCACTAATATATTTCTTCCAGTCTTCAATTTAGATTTTTGTCCATACAACACTGTTATGACCTTTTCCTCTAAGAATACCTGTTCTTGGGCGTGGTGTGTGTTGCTTTCCATGGCAGCAGTTACTGTCACGTGTTGAGTGTTAGAATGTTAGAACTTCATTTCCCGCCTTTTTTTTTTTTTTTATTGCCTCTGGCTGTTGATTAGTACAAGTGCAACTTCAAAATACCTTGAGATAGTATTTAATCCTAATTAAAATACATTTATCTGTAATGCTGTTGGCTTTTCATTACTTTGGAGACCTGGCCAGTGCACCATGTGGCTGCTCAGCCATGATAAGCCCGTCACCTTCCTTCTTCCATGGACAGTTTCAGTCGTGGGCTGCTGTCTCCGTGCGGAAACCCTCCCGCGCTCCTGGGACAGACTGTGGGGAGGGCGAGGAGAGGCCAGATTGAATGGCACCGTCCTGCGGCAAGTGGGACTGTCCCCTGGAGCATAAGGGTGTTGGGGGCAGCCTGAGCTGTGAGTCTTCAGCCTGGTTTTGGCTCCTGATTGCCCGAAATCCCCATTGGGGGCTGCCCTGCGCCTTGCTGTGCGCAGGGCACCATTGGCCGGAAACTAGCAGCATTTGCAGGGAGACCTTGAGGCCACTTCGAAGACCCTATGTTGCAGCTGGGGAGCTCGTGGCCCCATGGGACCGGCCAGTGCCCTCCATGTGCCACGCAAAGCCACCAGCTGCACCAGGCTCAAGTGACATGGTCACAGCTCTTATTGCTGCTGCAAACTGTTCTTCCTGTTCCAAAATAAAAACAAACCCAACTTCTCTCTGCCCCATTTTTGTTTGCACCCCTAACAGGGTGGCAGGACCTTAGGGAGCCCCAGTCTCCCTCATGGTGTGGAGCTGGTGCTTCAGCTGCACCCACCCAGCTGTTTTTTCCATTGCTGCTGCAGCTTGCAAGCTGCTAATGCAGCTCACACTCGAAAAACACCACCAAGCGCACTGTCTTAAAGCGTTGCCTTTGAGGCCAAACTTCCATTTGTTCTCTGTGGCGGGATGTGGAAGCCAGGGGGCTGCGGTGCACGGGAGGCTTCACCCGGAAAGCAGGGCCGTGGGTTTGGGGAAGGTTTCTGCACTTTGTGCTGGTTTTTGTGCAGCAACTTCACACGGTGCCTACGAGTCCTGGGAGCACCCAGCTGCAGGCGTCATCGGCCATGGCCTCCTGGGGCCTTGGGGAGGGTTTCCAAAGGAGCAGATGGGCCAGAAATTTGCTTTAAATATTGTATTTCTGTCTATATATACACGTTTAGGTGACTGTTTGTTTCCAAGCCAAGGCATGCAGGAAAAGCTGCGGCAGTGCCAGAAACAGCCGGATATCAGCAGCTCTTGCTGTTTGCCGCCTCCTATCGCTCGCAGACGTGTTTTCTTGCTGGGGGAAAGGAAAGCAATTTCCTTTGGGTGCTGTGAGAGGAAGTGCGTGGCCGCCGGGCCCATCCTGCCCTAGAGCCACTGCGCGCTGGCCCGCGAGGGCGCCCCGCAGTCTCGAGTGCCCCAGAGCTGGAGCTGGCGCGATGGGGATGGCAGCCAAGCGCTGCTGAGGCACTGCCCCGGCGAGCGCCTCGGCCAGGCAAACACCTGGGTCACAGTGAGGCTGCCGTACGGCGAGTCCACAAACCCACCGAAGCCGTGGGGCAGTGTTTGCACTCTGGCTGCGCTGCAGAGACAGAGCAGCTCCCAGCTGTGTAGCTGGAGCCTCCGCAGGGCAAGAGATGGGGAACTTGGCTCCCCGCAAGCCAGAGCCTGGCCCCACGGAGGAAGAGTAGGGACACTGAGTGCAGGGGAGACACGCTAACACCCAGCCAAACAGCAACAATTTTGCGAAGCAAAGTGCAATGATAGAGGGTTAACAGATCATTTTGTGATTATTTCCCCTGAGAACCAACAATCTTGAACCAATCCTACCGCATGGGTGAGTGTCCATGCTACTCAAGGTGTTTTGCCTTGGTGCCCAATTGGATCCATTTTTATTTGTCCAGTAGTGTTAAAAAAACCCACCACCACTCAAGAAGCCTTTGCTGGGAGTTCCTGCCCCTGTGCACGGTGTCAAACCAACACTGAAGGCTGCTCTAGCTCGAGTGCAAGTACTTCCAAGTCAACCTACCTCTCCCAGCCCTCCAAGGGGTGTGTGAGGAGATTTATAGGTATATGTATATAAAATATGTATATGAAAGCATCTACCCAACACCCTCCCTCTCAGCATCACTGTGTGCAGGACGGGCAGAACAGCTTCAGAACAGGAAACAAGGCAGCAAGGTCAACTTGTATTCTAGTATACTCTAGCACCCTATTTTAAAGGATCTCCTGTCACTCAGGTAAGCGAGACTGGGGAGAAACCCAAGCTCAGCGCTCGGAGGCTTGGAGCCGCCCTGCCTCTCGGTGGTGCGGGGACAACTGTGTTTCTGTGGTGCTCTTGGGCCCAGGCTCCGTTCCACTTTCAGGTGCACAATAACTCACATCTCATAACTTGCAGGAGCAGCCAGGTTTTGTACACTGAAAACCCATCAGCTGCATGATGGTCTCTGCTCACTCTAGCCAAGACAGCTTAAAAATAGATTATCCCACCACTGAAGGCTTAAACTCAAATAGGATAGCGCTCATTTTATTAATTTATGGAATCGACACTAGTGAGGTGAGATACTGGCTGTGGCTTTGGCTGCCTCTCCCGCAACATTCAGAGCAGTTACTTCCCGCGAGCAAACAGTTCATTGCACTGGCAACTCGGCAAGGCAGCCATGAGAGGAGGCTGCGCTGCATGCGCCACCGAGGCAGAGCGAGCGCCTCGCGACCAGCACTGCCGTGGGGCTGGCGGCTGCACCAAAATGTGAGCCCAGCGCCATCGAAACCTGTGCGAGGAGCCGTCAGTTCAGAGCACCAGGAGGAGCCGCCATGGGCTCGCCTGGATGAACCCCTTCAGGTGAGCACAGGGAAGCTCACACTCATCTGCTGCTGCAGACCTGCTGCACGGCTTGGCACAAGGCTGAAGCCCTGAGCCCCGAGGCCATGCGTGCCTCAGCCTGTCACCTCTCCCATGCCCTGAATTAGCAGCCCCAGAAATTGGTTGAAGCTTCTCCAGCCTTTCACTGGCCTGAGATGCGACTCCTCTGCCCTCGAGATGGTCCAGCTGGAACTCGTGCTGCCATCCAGGATGCAGCACGAGGCCCCGTGCTCGTCTGGCATCGTCCCCGCTCACAAGCTGCTCGGGCAGCTCTCGCTGCCAGGCAGCGATGCCTGGAGACACGAGGCCCTAGCAGGGCTGTGAATAGCATTTCTTCTGCCTTCCTCCTCCAGCTCTGGGGAGAGGAGGAGGCAGCTCTGACGTGACCACTGCTGTGCAAGCCCGGCCTGTCCTCGCAACTTGAGAGTCACGCAGGAGTCGCTGAAGTCATGGAGCAATTGCTAAACTCTGCACCCCAGAGTGCTGCGTGAGCTGGCAGATGTCATAGCTAAGCCGCTCTCCATCATCTTTGAAAGATCCTGGAGAACGGGGGAGGTGCCGGAAGACTGGAAGAAAGCCAATGTCACGCCAGTCTTCACAAAAGGCAAGAAGGAGGACCCAGGCAACTACAGGCCAGTCAGCCTCACCTCCGTCCCCGGAAAAGTGA